AGGAAAAAAAAAATCCATATTTTTAATTATCATATGCATTAAAATCAAAACCAAAATATTTATCCACATTTAAAACATTTGTACTTACTGTAACAAAACAGTATGTAAACAGAAATAATACTGAAATACTTTGCTTAATTTCTAACTTGGAGGATAACACTGTGACACAGTTGTTCCCATATGAGAGAATTATTCCCCTACCTCAAATTTAAGGGATTTTCTTCCTAACATTGGATTTATAAAAACAATTATTTTGAAGAATTATACAAATTTTCTCTTTTATTAAGTAACAATAATGTTTAGAATTATTTTATATTATTACATTCTCATGTTGAGTAAGGAAACCTTCTCCTTTAAAATACATTAAGAAATATCTGTCTGAAGTTGAATCTCAAACAGTCTACTGGTACCCTTTTATCCAATTAATGTATGTAAATGGCTTGAACATAGTAAAAACCCATTTTGGGTACCCTACTGACTCTTTTCCTTTTACGTGCTAAGCCACTTCATTATTCACTGTTAGAAAAATAGGGAAGGTGAGACAGTTGGGAAAAAATGCAGAGTAAATGATAAATATCAATGTTGAACACTAAAACTCTGCAATAATCTAGATCGTGCCCTCTCCCCTCCCCCATGCCCCCAATTCAGAAGTTTCAACCTTGACTAATCATCAGAATCATTTGGGTTGCTTAAAAAGAATTCTTGGGTTATAGCTTCTAGATAGGTTTAGGTTGAGACCCTGGATAGAATTTTTAAAGCTCAACATCTAATGATTCTGTTCATAACTTAGATTTGGAAACAGCTACCCTTGCCTCTTTCCTCCTATATCTTCCATTGAAAACCCTGAAATTAACATAATTTTAGCTATTAGCATTTTTTCACCATTTAGTTTATTTAATAATTAACTTGGTCACTGGAGAACTTCACATATGTCTATATATATATTTAGCAAAAAGTTCAATGTTAGATTACCAAACTTGATAAAGTTGTAGAATTACTGCATAAGGGCATCCTTTTTGGAGAATAGTCCCAGCATGGGAACAGTGATCTGCTGCCCACATGTCAAAGTGGTATGCCAGGCTCAGTCACCATCTTTGGGGGTGAAGTCCTCATCTCCCTTTGTTTACCCTTAGGCATATGGCAGAAATATCGGTGTTGCCTAGTTTCCCATCCATACTTTGGATGTTGTGAAAATGGTGTTAGTATCCAGCCTTAAAATGTATTTGTGTACTCGTTTTTCAATAAGAGAAGTATTTTGACTTTTCTGTTTAATCCATTTGGAAGTAAAGGAATATTTCATTTCCCCCTTTAAAATTATGCCAGGTATTAATGCTTTTAAAGACCAAGCTGTTTTAAAGTTTTTCCTTTATTTCAGTTTATCAGGAGCATTTCCAACAATGATCTTTTACATAACGGTACCTATGCAGGAGCCTGGCAACTTAGGCAAAGCAGTTCATTTGCAGTCCTCCCTCCTGTCCTTAAAATGTATATTTATATCACATATAGATTTTTACACTGAATATTGAAAAATAAAGTAGGATCTGCTACAGTTTCCCTTTAAATTTTATAAAAAGCACGAGATTTTAAAAAGGTTACTTAAATACATGTGCATGACCTTAAAAAACTTGGCTATTGTCAATAAAGTGCTAGTATTTGTGAAATTATTAGTCCCGTTCAGAAATAATATTTCTTATATCTCTTGGGAATTTGTGGCATAATAAAGCATATCCAAAGTTCTAATGTGTTTATGATATTATTTTCAAAACAGTAAGTTTATCATCTTTAAAATGAATGTGACTCTCCTCCTTGATTTCTGACATGCATAAACTTGGGAATTACTGTAGTAATATCTGTTTCATCTTTCTAGAATTGTTACTAATTTTATTGCACTATAGTTACCTTTAGAGAGGAAGAGGAAGGCTTTAGGGTGTGTATTTCTAAGGGAATTTATTAAATATAGTAGATTAACATTGTAATACTTGCTCAAGTAGTTTATAACAGAAGGTTAAGTATCAGGAGCAGATATCTGAAACAATGTGTTTTTAAAAATAACTTTCTAGTTGCAGTAGAAAGCAATGTATTCTTAAGGTAAAAAACCTACCTCAGTTACATGTGGTTTCTGTTTTCTGGATTACTCTGGATTTTTATAATTAGAAATTAAAATGCAAGTTTTTGAGTCCACTAATACTTTGTGGAAAATAATGCAAGTCAATGTAGTAGCACGTCCGTATGTTCAACACCAAAAGACAAAATAGGAAGGACCTTGGGTTTGATGATTAATCTGATGTCCTACACAGTATTCATATGTATAGTGATAGTTATCTTTCATCTTTTTTGTAGTTCTTTGATCTTGACTCAGTACCTAGTAAGTTCATGCAATGTTGGCACTTATTTAATAACTATTCATAATGTTAATAACCTGTTATAAGATTCAGGCATATATTTTCATCTTATAATACGAAAAACCGAACACCAGCTTATCACTGGGGAGAATATATTAAGTGAGAAGGAACTAACATTCAGGAATCAGAACTTTAAAATAACATGTTAAAGTCAGTGGTAAATGTTCTCTTATTATATCTAAACCATTCCTAATATGTAACAGTAAACTTGACTTCTTTTGCATTGGAACTATGCTCTCATAAATAAAGGACATCCCATTGAGTAACTTGTACGACTTATCTGAGAACTAGTGACACTTTTGTTGTTTCAATAAACTGAAAACATAGTACTAATAAGACAAACATTTTGCTCATCAGGTCCATCAACAAAGGTACTTCCCCCCATCCTGTTACGTTTTCTCATTGATGTATAGAAGTTGGTCGTTTCATTCTCAGTGTAGACTTGAATCATAGTCCAAGAAAACCTGAGCCCACGTTGTTTTTTTAGTTTACTTAGCTAGAATCTCACAGCATATTAAAGTCATATCCCCATCCTACCCCCCCAAAATAATTATATGTGAGAAAAATATGGTTGAGGGGGTTATGTTAAATTTTCATACTTATTCTTTCAGCAAGTATTTATTAGTCAACTGGGTATACAATTCTAGATATTACAGAAGTTTCCAAAAAATGGACATGGACCAGCCCTTCTATCTAGCATTGTACAATCTGTATAGTGTGTGTCAGTGCTATCTTAAGAGTGCTATATCTTAAGTAGCATTAGCCAGTCTAATCTGAATAGTTCATTCAAAAGTATTCTTTTTGTATTTATTATCCAGCCATTGTATTTTAGGTCTGGTTAATAGGTACTGTTTAATTTGCTGCAGCATTTACTGAGTGGTGGATGAAAGACCTGATGCATTTTGGGAAGTATCTTACCATGTTTCTTTAAGATAATTATGTATTATGAAAAGAACATTTTAAAGGCATTTGTAGCAGTGGTGAAGTAAAAAGAATTCAGTTTATGTCAGATACACCAAACTGTTAATGGTATTCAAATGTAATTTTAAGTTAGTTTTTCTGTATACATTATTGATTACTGGTTTGTTTTAGGTATTTAAGTCTAATAAACAGTTCACATATTGGCAGTCACTTTGGTAATAATAGAATGTTAGTGATGATCACTTGATGGACATTTATTACATGCCTGTTTTGTTTTGTTTTGTTTCCCCCTCTGGATACCTAATAGATGTATATTACCTTTTTTTGGTGAACTTGTTTCTTGAAAGTTTTGACTGTGCTATTCAGGGTTTTTATTATTATGCTTTTCTGCTAAATTTAAGTATCAGATGTCTGCTGTTACCAGTAAAGACCATATGAAAGCTAAAATTACTGTTTTGTTGAAAAAGCAGCTAATTCAGGTAATGCAAATTTGTAGAGAAACATGTGGATCATTTATTGATCACATTAGTATTGTGTAGACAGCTTTCATAATTCCCATTGCGTAGGTTTTCACTGGGGTAGTCAACGTGATATAGATTCACTTTTAATATGCTTTGCATGTAAAGTAATAAATACTCAATAAAAAGTAAATTTTTGTTTAATTTTTAACACTGGTTAATTATTTTTTTCCTTCCTGTACTATCGGTGAAACCCTGACCATGAGTTTTATTTTCGAAGTTAAAGGACAATGTTAATATTCTCATTATGTGCCTCTTACTGAAACAGTATGCAGTACTTTAAAATGTTTATTAGTATATTATTGTAGAAGGAATTGTATTTTACAAAACAAAAATATGGTATTGATAAGATCTGAATACATTCGTGGTGGGGCTTTTTGAATGAGGAAGTGTACATGTTCAACCTGACTAAAAATTTTAATTGTTTTTGTGTTTTGAAACTGCACAAATAATTTCTTAATCCAAAATTTGCTCTGTCATCCACTAAATCTGATGGTGGTCAAAGAATTTCAGGTCCCTCATACTTAGAAAAGATAGGTAGAGGTCTGGGAATGTAAAAATCCAGTCTGTGTTTTTTTAGTAAATGGTTTACATAACCTCTTGCCTAATGTGTCATTCTTCATACACCTGCACAGGCTAATCAGTCTTCTTTACTTCTAGAACTCTAAATCTTCTCAGTAATGTCATACATGTCTAACAAGTGAACAAGCATCTTTCAGTCAGACTGTTTAGATAAAGTCTCAAGTCATTATGTAAGAATGTACTCCATTTGCAAGTTTATTGAAAAAATTTGCAAGGTCTCCTAGTCTCAACTGGAACTGGATCTCTTTATCTTAGACTTCATCAAATCCCTATTTTTTGTTTTTCCTTCTAGATTCACTCTGTGCGTGCACACAATTCTATGAGTAGCTATAAACTACCCATATGATTTTTTTTTTTTTTTTTTTTTTGTTTTTGTTTTTGCGGTACGCGGGCCTCTCACTGTTGTGGCCTCTCCCGTTGTGGAGCACGGGCGCCGGACGCGCAGGCTCAACCGCCATGGCTTACGGGCCCAACCGCTCCGCGGCATGTGGGATCTTCCCGGACCAGGGCACGAACCCGTGTCCCCTGCATCGGCAGGCGGACTCTCAACCACTGCGCCACCAGGGAAGCCCCCATATGATTTTTTAATCTCATGCCTCTAGTTTTCTCTTTTCACCTCTACAAGAGGTTGGTTACATTTTACTCTCGGTCAGCTTCTTGGAAAGAATTATGTAATATTAGACCTTCATGTTAAAGAGGTAGGGCTGGTTATAATACCCTTTACAAACCTTTTTTTTTTTTTTTTTTTAATGTCTAACCATGTAAGGTTAAAAAGAAAGCAAAACACTTCTCTCTTAATTCTGGACCAAATGCACAATTCAATTCTCACTTTAAAAAAACTGCTCTGACTGAATAAAGATGCTTTTAATAAAGGAGAATGCTACTTGGTGTCAGATAGTTGAGCAGTATGAAAAAAAATTAATATGAGCTAGTTAGGAAAGGTAGATTGGACTTTGACTTTATACATGTGAAAGAAAAACGAAGTAAGGGTTTTGACTGCTAGGTATGTTTTTTCATGTTGAAGTATGAAAAATTATTCAGGATAAATTATTGTCTTAGTCCATATATGATCAGCAGCTATACCTGCTTAGATATACTACGGGACATGAAATTTACAGTCTATATTACATTACAGGCTTTTATCCAGGGAAATGTTTGCATTCCTTTGAAATGTAAACTATTTACTGTGGTTAAACAAAGGTGAATGATGTCATCAGTGGACATTTTAGCTTTATGGAAGCAAAGTTTTAGGAAAAATAATAGAAAGGTATCTGACTCCTTTTATTATTTTTGTAGTGCAAAAGTATAAACAAAGCTATCAGTCAAAGGCATAGGAAATTCCATTTGAAGAACCTGCAAATCAGTTTTGGTAAGAATGCATTCATTTGATACAGTGTTAAGAAAAGTAGGAAAATTATTAGCCTTCTGTAGCCGATTGAAAGTTTCATGAATGGATAATTCAGGATAGTAAACAACATCACTAATCTAAAGTAAAGTTATGCCAGTAATTTTCATATTAACTGTATTCTTTATTATTTAAAGTAAATCAGTTAATCAGTGAACATTGTAATTGGATGAATAAATGTACACTTCAGAATGATAATTAATGATCATAAGAAGACTAAAAGTACCTCTTGTTTCTTGTAACTCTTTTGAGATCAGTATATCTTAAGTTCAGTTAAGCATAGTGACTCAGTTAACAGTATGAACATAACTTTAACCTTAATTTCGTATAGCGTAAAAACATTCAATAATTAATAATTCAGTAACCACATATGCCAGGTATTGTGTTAAGTGCTTTAAATATTGTTTTTATTTGATTCCTTAAAACCTATGCAAGGTACAGATTGGGAGGTTAATTTGCCCAAGGTCACAAAGCAATACTTTGTGCCTTTTGCTATGACATACTCACTTTCATGCCATAATTATTGTCCTATTAAATATTTTCCCAGTGGTTCTCAAAGTGTGGTCCCCGCACTAGTATCATTGGCTTCACTTAGAAACCTGTTAGAAATACAAATTCGTGGGCCCCACCCAACAACAGAATGAGGCGAGGCCCAACAATCTGTGTTTTAACAAGCCCTTCAAATGATTCTGATGCAGGTCAAAGCTTGCAAATTTGCATTATGCACTTCTATTTTTAAGCAAAGATCTTGGTCCTCCTTTTGTCTTTGGACATTATATAAGTAATATAACATGAACTTGTAAAAAAAAATGATATTTTCATTGTTGCTTACATTGCAAAAGATTGTATCAGGAAAAGCCTCAGCATGGATACTGGCAGCTTGACATGACCCCATTAGTTTAGTATTATCTCTGGAACTCAAATGAATTCTTAAGTCCAAGAGTCTGTGGAATGAAATCTTTGTTCTTCTGTGTTAAGGTCGATCTCTGTTATTGCCTGAAGGTTTTTGGTAACAGAAATGCATTTTTGTCAAATTTTAAACCTTGATGGGAACAAATAAATGTATGTTTCATCAGAGTTATAGTTTTGTTTTCATTTTTTTTATGTATAGACACTGTGGGGTGGTCCATGGGGAGACTGAATTTTCAGTTTACTCTCTGTGCACTCAGAAATTCAATAGCATTTTCTAGCTAATTGACTGGTGAGGGTAAAGTCACAAAATTGCATCCCAGTGAGTAAAGAAAAACATTAAAGTCTAATTTGGGATCATTATTTTCTTACATGATGAGATAGTTAAGTAATCTACTGTTTGGTTTTTTTTTTACTTTTTAAAAACTTTGGAGCAAGTTTCTATTACAGAATTATTATGAAGATGGTACAGAGAGTACTCGAATACCCCACACCCAGTTTCCCCTGTTATTAATGTCTTACGTTAATGTGGTGCATTTGTGATAATTAGTGGATCAATATTGGTACATTATTATTTACTGAAGTTCATACTTGGTTCATGTAGCCTCACTTTTTCCCAAATGTCCTTTCTCTGTTCCAGGATCCACTCTACGATACCGCATGATGCTTAGTTGTCGTATCTCTTTACACCCTTCTTAGCTGTGAGTTTCTTAGACTTCCCTTGTTTTTGATGAGCTCGACAGTTTTGAGGATTATTGGTCAGGTATTTCTCACATCTTACTATGGATGTTTTCAGATATACATAAAAGAAGATAAATTACCCATATTTTTCCAATCTTAATTTGTCCCCCATTTTCTCATTTTTTGCTGAGGTATTTTTACAGTTAAATTTCAGTCATCCTATCGTTTTACCTGTAAATACCTGAGTATGTGTCTCTAATAGATAAGGCTCAAAAAATAATCACAATATTAGCATCCCCAACTCATTTAATGCTAATTTCTTGATATCATCTGTTTAGTTGGGGTTCTGGCAGGCCTGCAAGAGATCTGCTGGGGGAAAGCACATGTGAGGAAAAATGGGGCAGGAGCTAGGGCAGGTTGGGAAACCTCAGCATAGACCTGACTGCTGTGAAGAAGAGAGGGAAGGAGGATGGTTGAGCAGGAAGTCTTAATCCACAGTGCAGTTTGAAGAAAGTTTTAGCAAGTCTGTAAAAGTCCTCATGCCAAAGATGCCCATTCATCAGAGTAGTCCCACATCTTGCAGGAATGGGCTTGCCTTTGTATTCCTGCTATGCTCCTTTGTTGGCAGGGAGTAGCCAGTAGGAAGCAGGGCCTTAGCTGCACACCATGGCAGATTCAAATCACAGCAGCTGTCAGTTAATTACCCACCCCACAGTAGGAGCATGGAGAAGCCCATTTTCATGGCTGCCGCATCCTGTAATACTTCGTGTTCAAATTTCCCGACACCTCAAAAAATGTCCTTTTACTGTTTATTCAAATAAAGATCCAAATGAGAGTCATTCATTGCATTTGGTTACTATGTCTCTTAAGCCTTTTTTAACCTATAAATTACACACACCCCCAATTTTTATGCCTTTTTTCAAATTGAAGAAATTAGATCATTTGTGCTGTAGAATTTCCCACATTCTGGATTTGGCTGATTCTATCTTTAAGATGCTGTTTAACTTGTCCCTCTATCCCCCCTATTTTCTATAAATTGTTAATTAGATGAAGAGACTTTACTAGATTCAATATATGTATACCTTTTGGGCAGTAATTTATAAGTGTTGTGTATTTCTGTTGAATCACATCAGAAGGTGCATAATGTCTGGTTGTCTCACTTTTAATGATGTTAAGATAGGTCAGTAAATTCAGATGTTATTAGTTTGATTGCTCTATTTAAAAATTCGACATCAACCTTTTATGTAATGGTTTTAGCAAATATTGATAATTATTGCCCAGATCTATTATATCATTAGGTATTGCAGTGATAATTTTCAAGTTCTATCATTCTGTTTACATTAGTAGTTCGAATTCTTTAAAGACAAGCTCTTCATCAATTACTTGGTTTCTCTAAAATATAAGGAAGATAAGATCACATGCTTTTCCTTTATTTACCAGTTTTACAGTAATGGGCCAGAGCCCAGGCTGCCTCCAAAGGTAAGTCATATGTTTGTTTTATATGGTTAAAGTGTTTTAATCCATTGCAGTCATTATTTTTTTATGTCCAGATTATCTCATATGTGGCCAGTGGGTGCCCCTTCCAAGTTAGCTCCTGTGTCCTTTTGGTCATGGATAGCCTCCTTGTTTTCTGGCATTAGGTGTTCCAGTCTCATCTTGTACATTGCCTTTTCAAGACCTGGAATTAAGAGCTACCTTTCTTTGTAAAAAATTAAATCCTTGATAACCATCTAAATTATCAGATGAAATAAAAACCAGAGAGCACTTACAGAGTTCTTCTTAACTGTAAAAGCTGTAAGGACCTTGAAACATTTTCCAACTCGTACTTTTACTAGAAAATTTTAAAAAGATGACAGCTGCTTGTTGCTTTGTGATTTCTCATTCTCTCACTCATTTTCTGTGCAAATAAATGGTAAGCAGATCTTACATATCTTGATTTGAAAAAAATTTAAATCTATTCATGCCTGTTGAGAACCTCAGGAGATTGACTATAAAAGTCAAGATTTTTTCTTTTTTTTTTAGTAGTTAGATCACAGTAAAGTGGTGTTCAAATTAGAATGCAGCACAGAACTAACGTCAGCATGTATAGATAGATGTTCATTGAGTTGGATGTGAAAAGACATCAGAGAGCTTATATAATTTAATTAAGCTAATAAAATCATAATTAAAAAGTGGTGCACAAATTCTCATTCCTCACCCCATTAAAATTTGGCGCAAACTCGGAGTAGGGGTTTTAATAGATGCTAGACACTTCCGTCTCTAGTCACATATGAATGAGGGTCTATGTAGAGGTGCCAGCCAAGCAAGTTTTCACAGCTGGTTGTGAGGCAGTCCTGGTGAGTAGGAGGTGGAGTGTTGGATGACGGCTAGAGGCAGGTTGTGAAGTCGCCCTGTGACTGAGCCACCACGAGTTCTTGCGGTGCTTAGAATAAAGCCTGGTTGCTGGCAGCCATCGACTAGGGGACCACCTGATAATTAACATTGACAAAACCTTTCTTCTCTTCCTGCCAGTATCTCCATCCAGAAAGAAGGATCCCCTCTTTTCTTCCAGAACATGGAAACCAGCTGTAGCCTAGAATTCTTGTATTTTGCATCTTGCATTAGTTCACAAATACTCCTTGTATACTACTTTGTGCTAGGCTCTGGTTCTAGGTACTTGGTATATCACAGTGAACGAAAAGACAAATCCAAGCCAACACCATTTTATTCTCTGTTGCCCTAAAAAGAGTGTTGGCACAGGGTGGTTGCTTCTCAGAATGTCCTTTGGAACTTCCCAAAAGATGAGAATTGAAATTCACTTCTCTTTTGACAGAGAGAGTAGCCTCAATACGTGTCATGGGCTATAGTTTGTGTCATAAACATGCTGATAGGTCTAATGTTTGGAAAAGGCAGATTTATTCCCCTAATCATGAGAAATTGGGCATTTAGAGCATAAATTTGTATTTCCATTCATTTAATTTGTTACATGGATTTTATTTTTGCCCCCAAATCATGTCCTTAATGGCCAAGGCTAGTAAGTTCTTAGTGGAGGTCAGGATTCCACATTTTCTAGTACATTCTGATCATCTGAAAGATCTGTAATTATTTACCATTTCTATGCTTAATTTTATAATGGATTCCCAAATATGGATCTGTGTTCCTATAGCTCATAAAGTTCCCAAAGTCACCCACGGTTAAATAAAACTTATTTCTCTGTGTGTTTTTCTTTCCTTCTGAGCTCTGCAATTGAGGTGGAACTAAGTACAGTGTCCTTTACAAGCTTTTGGTGTCTAGTTACTTGAGAAACACTCCCCCTACGGTGAAATCATCATCCATTTACTTTTTTTTTTTTTTTTTTGTAATTGAGCGGTCAGGACACTTTATCCTTTTCCTGTGAGTTACCTAAAGATTTATTTCTTTGGGGAAGAACATATGTGGGGGAATTAGAACCAGTTTTGAGGATTTACCCCTGATTCACTTATGAACTTAGGATAGCCCTTTCCCTTTTATACTTAGATTATTTTAAACTCTTAAAAGTAACTTAAATTGGTAAGAATTATTTCCCCTCCCCAGGGTACTTGAGAAGTTTCTCTTATTTGGTCTCAAATAGGCTTATAACATCTTCATAACTTTAAAAAGCTGAATATCTCTGCGTTGATGGGGAAATAAGACCGAGAGGAGTGTTTTATTTACCCTGAGGTCACATAGTGATGTAAACAGAATCAGATATCTTACTAGTACCTGAAAATGGAGGTGTCTGACCACTAATAAGATTAGTCTGCAACACCGACCTGTTTAGAGAAAGGTCAGAGATTAAACAATACTATAAAACCATAAGATACAGGAAATCATAAAAATTATTTGAGTGGAGGGAGAGTGGAAATTAACTTTTATTTTGTTCGTGTCTCTTTAGAACATGATTTCAATCCAAAGTCACAAACAGCTGGAGGCAGTGTTTCTTTAAGTGAGGTAGTCCCTCTACCCCTGCCTCAGAATCACCTGGAGTCCATAGGGACACCCAAATGAATCAGACTGTCTGTTTGTTCTCAAAATGCATATACATGGTTAAGGATTAGACAGGATGTGCACAAAAAAGAGGAGGGGGAGATTAATTCCTTAAAGGACTGAGGAGACACCTTTAGGACCTAGAATTTGAGGCAAGTTTGAAGGAACTGGGGAGGGAGGGCTGGTGTCAGTCATAGTCAGGAATATTTAGGAAAATAATACTCAACGTCTGATGAGCCATGGTATTGCACCCGAGAGTTGCAGCTAAGGTTCTTCATACACACACCACCTTATGAAGTGCTGGCTTCCAAGTTAGACCTACTCAAATTCAGAGCCTGGCTGTACCACTACTAGCTGAGTGACCTTGGACAAGTTGCTTTATAATTTCATCTGCACCCAGGACAAAATAGTGCCTAACTTGGTTGGCTCATTGTGAAGGATAAATGAAAATGTGACGCCATGCCTGTTCATAGCTATGATGGGAGAAGAATTTAAATGAAGTACCTTTTCTCGTGTGAGTTTTACCAGTGAAGAAGTTGAGAAGATAATGATTGTCCTCCCTGAAATTAAACAAAAAGTAATCAGGAAGCTCTGAGTGAGTAATAAAACTGCCCTCTGGTCTTAAATATCTGCTTTGCTAGGGAGACTGTCCTCAGAAGTCCAATTGAAGCAAGTCTGAGCTCTGTCCTGAAAGAGGATGCGCTATGTGTTGATATTAATGTAACATAATCTCTATAGCCCCTGGAAAATTGTGGCTACCCAAGAAACACTGAACAAAATCTTGGTTGAAGGCAAGCATATTTTAGAAAGAAAGAGCTTCTTGATTTAGTTTACTTGAGAAGCTCAGAGTATTTCTCAGTTAGCTTTCTCTTCCTTTCAAATCCCCAGGCTCAACCTGGGCCTGTTTTCCTACTAAGAAATGTCTCTGCCCGGACTCCTGAACAAATATATTCCAGAGGAGTATCATTAACCGAGCTGATACGGGAACTAAACAAACAGGGTGAATCAGCTTGAATTCATGAAGGTTGGCAACGAGTCAGTTTCTTTCTCTACTTCTCCACTTGTTTTTTCAGTGTACCTGATTACTAGAGACTGGTATGTCCTGATAGCAGAAAACAGGAAGCATATCAAAGCAAGAGGTTGTTTGTCTCCTGACCTGCTCCTGTACAACAAGAAGCAGTTTCTGTTGCCCTGGATACACGTGCTATATTAGGCGGCAAAGCAGAGGATGGCAGTTACAGGTGTCAGTACTAGGGATGATTTTTTTTTTTTTTATCACTGAGGCAGGGTACCCCAGTAGCAATTGAAAGGGCTAGGACATTTTTTTTTCCCTCCTGAATTGTACAAGTTTAAAAGTAATGTTCGTCTTCTGACCTAGAAAAAGAATCATAACTGGAATGTGGACATTTTATTTGTCCAGTTATATGTATTAATTTGAAATTGTACACACAGTGTATCTCCTTTTGTTGTATTTTCTCCTGAGATATCTTAGATCTTACACTTATCCATTCTTAGACCTTACACATGCATATCGCTCTAGTAGGAAAATACTCTGCTCAGCTTAAACATGTGTATTTTACTTGTTATATGAAATTTGTGGAGTATAAGAAAGTTTAATCTCTGTTTTAATTAAGTTCAGAAATAGGAATGTTTTTTCCCATGAGTGAGATTGATGAGAAAAATTAAAGCAAGCGATAGACTCTTTTTCAACCAAAAATATTTGGAACTTCAGTTTAAATTGGTGGAGGTTATGAAAGGTAGTATGGATTTAAAGAGAGATGGATTTTCTTAACATTTAAAAGATAGCTGACTAAGCTGCTAAACAGAAAAAAATGTGAAAAAGGCATCTTTAAAAAATATAATTCCCAGTGAAAAAAATTAATGTACAAAGAAAAAGCCTATTCCTAAAATCGTGCAGTGCTTCTATCTCCTAGAAATAAAACTAGGACATCCCTTCTCTCTTCTTTCTTGCACCCTTTCTGACGGCTACTCCAGGACTACGCTGGTGGGGATAACGTTTTCCAGGACTGTCAGCTAACAGTACGGAAATGATTGGCATTTGGTGTCTGTGTACATTTTCCTTTCAAAGGGCCACCCGTAGGAGGTTTTCAATTACCAGTTAAATAAGTGAATACAAGAATGAATGAATGAGTAATTGGGAGACCTTGGTTGCTACTTTAGCCTAAGCCTGACCCTTATTTATTATGTTTTGTGACCTTTAGCAGGTTACTTTACTCATGGCTCTGTATCTGTAAAGTCGAGTGAATGACACCTACCATGTAAGTACTTCATAAATGTTTATTGAATGTTTGAATTAATCACTAGATTCAATTCAGATATACTAGATCCAATTTTCTGGAGTCTGGCGTCTGGGGATTTGCCCCTTTAACAAAATCTGGTGGTGATACTTTATGCACCCAAAGTTTGAAAACCACTCTTTTCAACTCTACTGTTTACAGGGCAGGGCACTGTGGTATATGCTGAAGGCAGTAGTAAAATAAATCAGACTGTCTCTGTCTTTAGTAGGTTTACATATAGTTAAAGGATAGATATAATGTGAACAAGCACAGAGGAAGGAGAGATTGCTTTGAAGGACTAGTGAAACTTCTTAGGGATCTAGCAATTTTTAAGGGCATTTTAAAAATGCCTAAATCAATATGTATTACATGGTAAGTGCAGAACTATTAGTATTGTTATTTCTTACTAACCTGTTAAGGACAGGGTCTATATTTTTCAGTAGCTCTTCTCCAGCCAATTTATACATTTCTTTGGGTGACTAGATTACCTTTTCTGAAAGATTTTTGTGATTTTTTACAATTTTGTCCTGTGATAGAGTTCTCACAGGCGTTTTTCTCTTTCTGTAGGCCAACTTATGCATTTTCTTATTTTTAAAAAAATATTTATTTTATTTTATTTTTTGGTTGCATTGGGTCTTAGTTGCGGCATGTGGGCTCTTCTTGCGGCACGCGGCTTCTCTCTAGATGAGGCATGCGGGTTTTCTCTCTCAAGTTGTGGTGCGTGGGCTCCAGAGCGCATGGGCTCTGTAGTTTGCGGCACGGCGGGCTCTGTCGTTGACGCACGCGAGCTCAGTAGTTGTGGCATACGGGCTTAGTTGCCCCGTGGCATGTGGGATCTTAGGTCCCTGACTAGGGATCGAACCCGCGTGCCCTGCATCGGAAGACAGATTCTCTACCACTGGACCACCAGGGAAGTCCCTGTGCATTTTCTTATTTCCATTTTGTGACTCTGAAAATTTTTTCATGAAAATAAAATTCTAATACAAACTCACATTGTAGCCTGCTGAATCCTTGGACTCATTATATGATTTAAGAAAGCTCACTTTTGGGCTTCCCTGGTGGCGCAGCGGTTGAGAGTCCGCCTGCCGATGCAGGGGACACGGGTTCGTGCCCCGGTCCGCGAAGATTCCCACATACCGCGGAGCGGCTGGGCCTGTGAGCCATGGCCACTGAGCCTGCGCGTCCGGAGCCTGTGCTCCGCAATGTAGAGGCCACAGCAGTGAGAGGCCTGCGTACCGCAAAAAAAAAAAGAAAGAAAACTCACTTTCTAAACTGTAGAAAAGAAATCCATTTAGTTAACTCTCGTTCAGTCAGGTTTTTCCGGCTTGTGGATTATTCAGATTCTTTGCTCCACATTTACAGCTTGCTTTTTACCTGTTGTTTTGCTTGTTAGGCATGAATAGAGAAAGAGAAAGAAGCAGATCTGGTAAGATTTAGCATGGGAACTGATGGCTAAACTAAGGCTCAGCTTAGAGAGTTCTGTTGAATTCTGTTGAGTTCTGTCACAGTTTTATCTTATTAGCAGAGGTGTGACCTAGTGATCCTGGCACGTTAGGATATCGAGCAGAGATTTTGACCTTTGATCCTCCTAGTCACTTACTGTGTACCTTGTGCAAACCAATCAGTCTAATCGTGTAATAGGGAAAATGCCTACATAATTTTGGATTCATGGTCCAAAGGGATGTCCGTAAAAGGAATTTAAAGAATTCACTGATTGTGATTACAATATTCTAGATACTAAACAAGAAACCTCAAAAAAATGTACCTTCTCTCCTAAGATATTGCTGAGCTGAAACTGGGCTTTTTTCTCTCCCTTTTCAGAATTCATGTAACAGTAACACTAGGTACTATATAAAATATTTTAGAATTAATGATTTTGTTCTTCTTATAAATTTAAAGGACACTTTTTATACACCTTTTATAGTGTGTAAAACTGTCACAGAACTTGACATAGAGGATTAATTAGCTAAATAATGCTGAAATGAGGACTAAAATAGTTTTTCTGATTTCCTGTTCACCAAAATGACATGCTCTAAATAAGAGCATTTTTGTTCTATTTATGGAAGTCTGATATACCTGTAGTCTACTGTTATCATGTGTTTAATTTTTGTTTTTAATTCAAATGGGGCATATGGTATGTTGTTAAAACTAAGCAGGAAACTTCTGAATCTTAAGGAGGAATTCTTGATGTGTTTGTAGCATAACAGAGTCCCACTCGCTAGCACAAACAGACAAAAGTTTAAATTTTAAACTAAATTTAAATTGAGGAAAAGTAGAAAAGCACACTGATCAGATAGTCTTAAGATTTGGATTCACCACCTACTAAGTGACTTTGGATGTGTCATTTCCCCTTCTTTAGCCTCCACTTCTTAATCTACAAAATACACTCTTACATAGTAATACCTCTCCTATTACATGAGAGTGATTTTGAGGGTCAAAAATATGGTGGAAGTTTGTAACATGAGCTATAACAATATTAGTGATTTATCACTAGTATAAAGCCATATGTAGCTGCTATACTATTAGCTCTTATATTGTTAGCAAGTGCAATTGACTTTATCTTTTAGAGGTAAAACTTGACTTCAAAAGGAGGTTTAAAAAAAAGGTCTAAAGTCCTTGAGATTAAAAGAATCCAAAAGTCATTTGTTGCCAGAATCAAAAGGCAGGTTTTTAATTCAGCTTCTAAATTATCAAAAGATAGAAGCAGGTAAAATATGAAGCTTCTGTTCACAGATTTCACAGTACACGGAAGGAATACTGAAGACAGAGGGGAGACAGGCTTTAGTGCAGACCTGGACACCTGGAAAAGCAAATAGTCTCCTGAAGTCTCTTCTACTATTGTAAGGTCCATGAGTATACAAGGTCTGATTGCATAATAGGTGCTCAATAAATATTTGTCGAATAAGTGGATGAACGAATGATAAGTAAATACAAATGCATCTACTTCTCCCTTGGCTGCTTCTCCTGTTGGAAGGCTTAATCTTTTAACATTGGAATTCCACAAGAAACATCTTAACCAAGTCATGTGTTTGGGCCAATCTGTTTCCAGGCTTGTTTGTGTTTTTCACATTCTTTTTTTGGCCTGCAATATTATTCTGTGACCTCTTTCCAGTAGGTCATTCAGTTGGGCCCCAAGGAAGTTAGTAAATTAAACTTGATTTGGAATGGAATACTTATAGGGTGTGTGGCTTGGATTGGAATCAAATTAGGTCTGGCTAATCTTATTTTGGTTTAATCTATGTGGGAAAGAATAGAAATAGAGGAAAAACAAACAGAAAATAGTGGAAACTATTCTTGTATAATGATAAGCAGTTTTCGTAAGGAATAGTTCCAAGGGCCAAAACCTAAATTATTTTTATGAAAAGTTTGGGGACGAGATTCAGCAGTGGAAAGATTAAGTTCGCCAGTCGTCATAGTTGGTGTTTACTTTTCTAGCTTTCCCAAGCCAGAGAATTTCTAGGCTTTTAAAATGTGGATACTCCATACACAAGGCATGTTACTTAATATAGTACATGCTTTTTAATCTTCTTCAGGGCTCTGGAAATGGAAAAGCCCAATCTTTGGGAAACCTCAGCTACTAGGGAGGCAAAAAAAGTTTCTAGTCAAATCATCCAGACTCAATCTTGAGTCTCTTATGCAGTTCTATGGTGAAGAAATGTTGAGACAGTGCTCTCAATTCCTGCACTAGTAATTTCTTTAAAGCTGACTTTTCCCCCTTCAGTCACTTCCAAGTTGCAATATATTGGACCACAGAAGACTTAACCTTGGCGCTCAGAGTTCAGGAAATCCCCTTTCCGAACTGGCTGAGAGCGTTTGAATAAAATGGGAAACTTCTTCAAAGCTACCTGGGAAGGGGGAAAGCAGCAAGGAGCAAGTGAAACCTTCAGAGTGAGAACCCTTTTGTTTGGAGTTCTGACTGGGGCCTGGGGAGTCTGAATGGGATCTTTTCTTGAAGAGAATTTCATGTGATTGCCTAATAGGTTCTTACAAAGGAGAGAATCAAGATTTACCATTTGGAGTTTCTGGACTGTAATAATATTTGTTCCTGACAATTGAATTTCCCCTCCCATGGAAGTCAGTATTTTGTTCATTTAATAAAGCAAATTAAGTTTTCACTTTAAAAAGGGGGAAGAGTGACTACATTATTTCTAACTTTTCATATTTGACCTGCGGATTAAAGGGGTGAGTTAAGGTACTGAAACATGGGGGAGATGATATGGAATTTTTTCAGTGCTTGCTACAGGGTTTTAAGTACCCTGTCTCCCCACTTAGTTGCCTGATGTTGTTGAAGGTTTCACTTGCCTGAGTAGAGGGTAATAATAATGGGTTTTTTCTGTCTAAAGGAGATGACCAGACCAAATGATTTTATACAGTTCTTTTAAGCACTTATAAATGATTCCAAAGCAGCAAATGAATTTTGGTTTTGGTTAATTTTCCAGGAGCAAATCTAGTTAGTGGCAATCTTCTAAAAGTATAAAGGACTTTTGGCTGCTTCAGCAATACTTAAGTATTTTAAAAATTATTTTGTTATGTGATATTTTCTGCATGTAAAATTATGCATATATGTACAATTATTCCCACACCTGTAAAATACATATTATACACTGTTGATATAGGTTTGAAAATAAGAAAATGAAGATCCCAGTACATACAGACCAGCTAAAGCAATAATATATTCTGTACTTTTTTTCTGGAGTTACAGAGGTTTTAGAGTAAATGCTGTTCCCCCAGAAAGGACACCATGATTTCATTTTCTGTTTTAAGAAAAAAGAGAGGGTTACCATTTCATTTGTTCAGTTCTGATTCTCCCTAATAACTAGCTTTTTTGTTTTTGCTTTTAGATATTGCATCTTAGAAATGTAAACTTATTAGCTCAGGCACTGTTGATAACGTTTTGCTTAAAGTAATTGTTGCTAATGGGAAAATGGTTAAATATGCTAATTCTAATAAATTATCTTTTTAAAGCGTTTATAAAAATATGGACAGACATGCAGATGCCTTAAATCTTTTTTGAAACAAGGCGATGTATGAATAAATAAGATTTTAAAGTGCTCACTTCGTTAAAGTTTAAAAGGGAGAAATATACAGTTGCATATCTAGTATAATCACAACTACTCATCACGGCAGGAAGAATTAAACATTTGTCCGTATCTCTGGGTGGTATAATTCTCTTTCCTCTTTTCACTGTCATATTTCCCAAACTTTTAGCATATTTGTTCTTATAATGGAAAAGTCTCTTTTACTTTTATGAAAATAAATTGATTGTTGATGCAGTTTCCATGATGCCCAAGAGCTTATTCTAGTTGCATTTCTAGTGTGCTGCTGCCACCTTGTGCTTTCTGCAACCCATTACAGTGATCAGAGAAGAAAGGAAAATCCTTAGGAAGGTGGGTATTTCCTCGGAGATGAATTTTCATAGTGTAGGAAGATGAGAGAGAAACATGTTTCAGATACATGAAAGATACATGGTGTGTGTGTGTGAGAGAGCACGAGAGAGCTTTCTAAAGGTTTGGGGGATTGTTTACTAGATGATATCTCTATTAAAATTATATTTTATGACTAGGACTTGCAACCTGGCAAAGGAGAAGAGGAAAGACCTTGGTTTCAGTGCTGATAACAATAAACTCCTTAGTTAGGGTTTAAAATACATTTTGATACTTTCTATCCTCGCCTGGTTTTTAAAATGTATTCCCTTAGCTTGTGCCTAGAAAGCTCTAGGTGGCTTGTTCAATGTGCTTCTTTAAATTAAATCGCCTGCTGTGTTTACATGACTGTTTTTCTGTTTTCACATTATCATTCCAGACGACATTCCATTTGTTCAGTGCCTCAAACTATTTATATGGTCTGCTGCCCTGGAGTTATGCTGAGCTCCTGAAAGGGGTGTCTTACCTGGAACTTTGGCCTTCCTGGAGCGTAAACAAGCCCAATTCGGTAACTTGTCTGAGGAGCTCTCAGATCTTTCTTTTTAGGAATTTATTTAAATACATTTGATTTTGAAATGGTCTTTAAAGAGCCTGGATCCAGATGACTTACGTTTGTCATTTGGGCAAGCACCTCTTTCTAGGACGATAGCGGAACAGTGTTTCCCAGCTCTCTTAAATACTGACAGCACCAGGCCTAAGGCAGAATTTTTTTTTACCCTGTGGACTCCCACTTTGCCTTGAAGAATTATGACTGTGACTGAAACCACAGTTACAATCTCAGAGGGCTTGAAAGGTACAGAAAACAAGTTTATTGAGCACCCACTACAGGGCAGGCCTGGTACAAGGCTTTTTTTAACCTATATAGTCACATATAGCCGTGAGTAAAAACTGTTGAGTTATGTACTATACCCCTCACCCCACATTCGAGGAAACAGATCAGAGATGAAACAGCTACCCAGGGTCAGGCAGCTTGGAAACGGCAGAGCAGGCATTGAACTCAGGTGTCTCTGCATCCCAGCTCCGTAGCTGATGCAGAGCAGACTGTCTTTCCAGGGCGGGTGGTCAGGCTCTTTATGGTTGGGGTGGTCTGAAAAGCGAAGGCAAGTCTGGCCCGCAGCAGAAGCAGAGCCTCCCTGCAGGGAGGCACGCCGCCAGCAGGCTCAGCCCCGCCTCTTCAGGAGACCGCATCTCCACTAGGGTTGGCAGGGCATTAATGCCAGGGAGCCTGGAAGCCCTTCCCCAGTACCTTCCAATTCTCCCTACACGGTCAGTTCTGACTTGTCCCAGTGCAGTAACCTCCTGACTAATCTCCCCGCCTCCATCCTTGCTCTGTCTCCAGCCTGCTCTGCACTCCGCATTTGGAGCAGCCTTTCTGAAGAACACATCAGATCTTGGTGCCCCTGAGCTTTAATTCTTTCAAAGGTTTCCTGTTATAATTTGGACAAAGTCCAAATTCCTTAGCTTGGCTGGTTAGCCCCTTCTACCCCAAACCTCATGTCTCTCTACTGCCCACCACAAACGCTGCTTCAGCTCACGGGGCAATTCACTGTTTACCCAACTGTGCCGTGCTTTCTCCCCTCAGCACCCAGCTGTTCCGCTGGTCCTTGAGCGTTGCTCACTCTTCCTCCTCTGTCCCTCTTCCTACTTATCCTTTTTTTTTTTTTTTTTTTTTTTTTTTTGCGGTACGCGGACCTCTCACTGTCGTGGCCTCTCCCGTTGCGGAGCACAGACTCCGGACGTGCAGGCTCAGCGGCCATGGCTCACGGGCCCAGCCACTCCGCGGCATGTGGGATCTTCCCGGACCGGGGCACAAACCCGCGTCCCCTGCATCGGCAGGCGGACTCTCAACCACTGCGCCATCAGGGAAGCCCCTTATTTATCTTTTATGGTCTCTGCTTAAAAGTTACTTCTTTCAGAAAGCGTTCATCAGACTGCCTTATAATTACTTCATTTTATTGAGATATAATTCACATACCATAAAATTCACCCTTTTAAAGTGTATAGAGTTCAGATGCAGTCATCACCACTACCTAATTTCAGAACATTTTCATCACCCCAGAAAACAACCCCACACCCTCTGAGCCCCTCACTCCCCTCCTCCCCCATCCACTGGCAACTACTAGTCTAAATTCTATCTCTGGGGATTTGTCTCTTCTAGGCTTTTCATGTAAATGAAATCATACAATATTTGTCCTTTGGTGTCTGGCTTCTTTCACTCAGCATAATGTGTTCAAGCTTCATACACGTTGTAGCATGTATCAGCACTTCACTCCCTTTTATGGCCGAACATTATTCCATTGTATGGATACACTACATTTGTTTATTCATTCATCAGTTAATGAACATTTGCGTTGTTTTCTTTTTGGTCGTTATGAATAATGCTTCTATGAACACTTCTGTACAAGTTTTTGCCTGATCATGTTTTCAGTTTTCTTGGAAATGTACCTAGGAGGGGAATTGCTGGGTCATATGGTAACTCTGTTTTCCACAGTAGCTATACCATTTTACATTCCCACCAACAGTGTATGAGCATTCTAAATTCTCTGAAGTTTTGCTAGCACTTGTTATTTTCTGGTTTTGTTTTGTTTTGTTTTAAGTGGTGACAGCCACGCTTGTGGGTGTGAAGTTATAATTGACTTTTAACTGGCTTGTTTCCCTCATGACTAAACGCTGTGAAGGCAAAGTCTAGGCTAGATCTTGTTTATTTATTTATTTAAAAAATTTATTGATTTATTTCATTTTATTTTTCGGCTGCATCGGGTCTTAGTTGCATGAGATCTTCGTTGTGGTGTGCAGGCTTCTCTCTAATTGTGGCCCGCGGGCTCCCGAGCGGGTGGGCTCTGTAGTTGAGCACGCAGACTCTCCAGTTGCTCTCGCATGCTCCTTTGCAGCGCGCGGGCTTAGTTGCCCCATGGCACGTGGGATCTTAGTTCCCCGACCAGGGATTGAACCCCCATCTCCTGCATTGGAAGGTGGATTCTTAACCACTGGACCGCCAGGGAAGTCCGTAGATCTTGTACTCCAGTGCCTAACACATTGAACAGTTGCTCAATTAATATCTGCAAAGCGGGTGAGAGGACCTAAATCTTACCTACTTGCTTTGCTTCTATAAATTCAGGAAAGATAGGGGCTGGAATGGGAAAAGATGTTCTGGCTGCCAGTCCACACACTCTTCACAAGGGTGCTGTGGGATTTTAATAACCACACTAAGTAGATGACTCCATGGCTTTAATAGTCTTACCTGAGAAGCTCCCCACATGGAGAACGGCATGAGTGCTCATTTCACCAGCTCAGAATGGGGAAGAACATACTCAACTCTGCTGGCATTTTAATCTGTGATTCCGGGGAGTGTTTCTACTCCAAACACATTTTCTGAGGGCATGTGAACGTTGCCTAATGAGAAAGCCATTCTTTCCAAGTGAAAGTGGAGAAGAAAAAAGCAGAACACAAGTTCCTTTCCTGGAAACAGACAGGACACATCGATTATACATTCAGAATAATATGGATTGAAGCCCAGTTGTCATGTTCTGAAACAACTCTATTTAGCCAAGTTACAGCTGGGATCTCACCTACTGTTTATCCTTTCCTAGCTATCTGTTTGTTGTTTTTTTTTTGTCCCCAAATCTTGGACTTGTAAAGGTGAGCTGAAAGCAAAGAAGTGCTTGTTCCCTGATTTCCTGGGGTGGGCAACATCTGGTAAAGAAGGTACCTGTAAGAGAAAAGGCCATGATGCCTCCTTGGTAATGTTCATGGGGTGTGTGGGTGGTGAGGGCCACAGGTGCCACCTGTAAAACTCTTGAATCCATCTCCACCCTTTGTCAACATTCTACCTAGTTAGGTTTTGCTCCATTTTCTTCTATCTTTGTTTTTATGTGCTTTTTTCTCTATTTGCCTGCTGTGAAACACAATGTGGGCCCAACCCTGGGAGCTTCCTGTTGAAATGTCATCTTTAAATTTTGGGACTAGTTTTCAGCTCCCATCTTCCCTTCAGTGCACGTGGATTTGCGGAGTTACAATCCCCACCTGACTCATTTCAATAAACTTCTCTATTTTATTTTTCCCCTCAAAAGCATAATATGGACTCATGATCCTTTGAGGGAAAAGAATAGGAAAAGAGAAGGGAGACCTTTGAGAAAGTCTTAGGTAAATAGTACTGACCTTGTGTAAAGAGTGTTAATGTTATTATATAGCAGTGAAAACACAAAAGATAGGAAAAAAAACATAGCAATCTTTGTCCAAATATGGCCCACTTGAACTCTGGATGGTATTTCAGCATGGTAGGAAAATTCCAGATGTCCTTCTGGCTGCAAATGTTTCACCTTATCTGCCTTTGCTGATAAACTGAAGATGAATTTGATATCAGGAGGTACTGGTTGTCTAAGGAAGTACAGTACCAATGTTGGGGCAGCGATGTCCATGCCCATGTTCTAGCCCTTACCTCATTCCTTTAATACTCCCTGATTTATCATCATTTCACCCAGACCTTCAGTCAGTGGGTTAGTTTGCATGGCTTCTTCAAATACTAATCTCAGAGAAGTCAGATACGAGCCTGTCCCCTGGGCCTAGGAGCACTAGTGGAACTCACAGGAAGGGGAATTCTGCCAAAAACGCCCAAAGCTTCTAGCAACTTTGTGTTTTTGGCACATTAACTAGGACCAGATCTACTGGGCCCCAGTTCATACTCCCAGTGCCTCCAGCAGAGAGAAACGTGTGGCTCCTGGTCCCCATGTTTGCACACACGACTAAGCTACTAATCACTTCTGACCAGTTGGGCAACCTTGCTTTTTGAGCAAGCCAAACACTTGTAACTTGAACATGGAAACAAAACAGAGTTTTGTACAAAAAAGGCTGTGCAGGATCCTTCAACTGTTCATTCCTTTGAAAAGTTCCTTTTGCTCCTGAGGGCAGCATATGAGAGAAATTCCAGAATTCAGGCAGAAATTCAGAAGGACGAAAATGCAAGTTTAAGCTCCGGCTTTTGACCTGTGCTACAGTTGAGCAAGACTGTTACAGATAGACCGGAAGCTTTGGCCCAGGCAGCTCATGCTGTGCTGTGATGTGCATCTGGATGGATCCACCCCGAGGTTGTTTATTTACAATGAGAGTGGAAGGAAAAGTTCTGAAACATCCTGTCACAGGATGTGTGCCTGGGCCTGCCTGAACACTGCAGCCAGAGGAAACCGGGAGCCGTTTTTAGGGGATCAGTGACGACACTGCCCTCTAGTGGTGTGTCTGAGGCATAGATGAATAAACTGCAGGTGTACCCAGTTCTCAGGAAGATTTACCCCAATAAACTCTCAGGTGGTGTGTGGGAAAGAGAAAGGAGGCGGAGGGAGATGGAGGGAGAGAAAGAGACCAGAAAGGGAGAGGATTTTTGCCGATGGAGCTCATCTCTGAGTCTCTAGTGACTGGGCTACTGAGGTACACTTAGGGCCTCAGTGAAAACTTTTTCCCCCAGGGGTTCCAGCAAGTGATACTAGCGAAAAATCTTGATTAAAAATTTATATT